TACTCCACGAGGCTTCTGACTACGGTAGCCGTAATGCTCCGACAATTCATCAAGCGGTGCAGCTTCGTAGCTTACAAAAGTCATACTAAAACATTCTGACAGATTTTTGAGTGCTGTGTGCCACATAAAATCAGTTCAAGGTCAGTAAGCACAAAAAGAATTAATACGTAAGGCACACTGTCAATTTTTTGGAAAATTAAGGGATTTTAAGTGCGCCTTTGTGTCTGAAAAATATGGTAAGTCATTGTAGAACTGCCTTTTAGAACTACGGCTCCTCAAGAAAACGGAACTCGCAGCACTTAACTCAAATGTAAACACATGGCAAAAAATCTCACGAGATCATGTTCCTCTGCAGCACTCAAGGTAATTTTGTTTTGCGAGATCTCGTGCCATAAGATCTTGTCCAGTCCCCGTCATTTAGGAAAGGAATAGTTAAAAAGGACCATATTATACGCTGTTTTTTGATCTATGTTGTCTAGTTTCCTCATCAAAAACAGACCTGAAGTTGTGTTTTGTTTCATTCGCACATGTTTAACTCACAAATCCTGCAGATTTTAGCCGACTTCTTCCACAATGTGATGTCATGTGGTAATACAGAAAGTGCTCCACTGTGTTTTTAAACCCCACACACCTTCACTAGAATCATTTGGATAATTTCAGCCCTGGATTTGCCAATCTCTATTGAACAAACGATAAAAGGTGTTAACATGTAAACTACCAGTACGTGGCATCACAATGAACAGAGCATTTTGAGCTTTGGAGATCTAGACAGACAAATAATAAAGGATTACTCAAACATGTGTGAGTAAAACAAAACACCCCGGGCCTGTTTTTGATGAGACAACTACATTATAACACGTCTTAAAGCTCACAAGAGTCAATTTTGTGTAATATTGAAGCTTTAATACAATAAATGTGACTGTTTTGGCAATTAAAATAGGTGCATTTCATTGTAGGTCTGCACAAGTTTAACAAAGACTATGAATTTCCCGATCATTATTTATCCAACTCAAAAAACTGAAGTAATATTTTAATCAAATTTGAACATGTACAGGCCCTGAATATTTGCACATTTGAAAAGCACATGGGATTTATTGAGACAACACTGGCGTCGGTTACAGCGTTACTGCCACACACACACGCACACATGCACACGCACGCACTGCTGCTGGCACACACTCACATGTTGTGTAATAAACATCAGGCTCCGCCCCCTCTGTCCTGTCTGCAGCTCAGATATTCCTCTGAAGAGAGACCAGCAAAAAACCCGGGAGTAAACAAGAGCTAAAACAACTTAAGAAGCAAGAACAAAACACCAGGTCTAGAAAGATCCGAACCAGAGCTGAATTAAAACATAGAAAAGACAATAATACTAATCAGAATTCAGAAATCAGGAGTGAAAAGGTACAGAACCAACCTTGATATGTTTTCAAGTCATGTAATCAAAACATAGGAGGGTCTTAGGGCTTGTTTTCGTAATGGTCACATTTTTAACACAGCGTTTTTCCACCTTCGAAAACCTTTTACATCAAAGAACCACTCACCCACACACACAAAAACACTCACACACCAATGTAGACAAACACTGGGGGCGAGCTGGGTTAAGTGTCTTGCCCAAGGACACAACGTCAGCATTTATTTGTAGGAGCTGGAGTTAGGTGGATCTGACTGCTCTCAAATGATGTTTAATGTAGAAAGCTGGATTCGAACCGCCAACCTCCGAATCAGTGGACAAACACTGAGGCACAAACTGAGCTGCTGTAGTTTGATGATACTCTGTCTTAGGATGCAGCCAAAACAAAACCTGTGTGATACTTTAGTGCAGGGTTAGCAGTGAGGCCTGTGAAATATCGTATCGTTTAATGTGATGATACAGTGTTGATATCGTGGGCTGCTGTATCGATATATCACCAAGAGTATTTTTTGGTTTATTTTAGTATATTATTTTGTTACAGCGCCACAGTTTTGTTGCTTGTTTAGAGGAAGGAAACTCGTTTATCCAAAATATTTGACATATTCACTGTTATAATGATTAAAATGTTTGTGTTTCTTTTGAGCTTTGCACAAGAAGTGGTTTAACAAAGACTTTAGCCTTTATTTTTTATGGAACCGTATCAAATCGAAAGTGCACTGTAACGCGATATATATAACGTAGGGCTGGGTATCATTAAGAAGTTGCCGATACGATACATACCTCGACACATAGGCCACAATACAATACATATCTTGATACAGTGCACTTTTGATTCAATACCATATATTTGATCAAAATCAATTTGATACTGTTCAATAAAAACTAGATCATGGCTTTGTTAAACCAGTTCTTGTGCAAAGTTAATATGAAACACGCCCATTTTAATCATCAAAGCAGTGAAAATGTCAAATTTGTTGCATACATGAGTGTCCGTCCTCTAAACAAGCAACAAAACTGTAGCGCTGTAACTAAATAATTTAACAAAATATACCAAAAATTACTCTTGACGATATATCGATACTGTATCATCACATTAAACTATACTTCGATATTTTTGCACACCCCAAATGTAACGTATCATGGCCTGTGTATAGAGGTATGCATCATATTGTGGCCTATGTATCGAGGTGTGTATCATTTCGTGGCCTATGTATCGAGGTGTGCATCATTTTGTGGCCTATGTATCGAGGTATGTATCGTACCGTGGCCTATGTATCGAGGTGTGTATCGTACCGTGGCCTATGTATCGAGGTGGGTATCGTACCGTGGCCTATGTATCGAGGTGGGTATCGTACCGTGGCCTATGTATCGAGGTGGGTATCGTACCGTGGCCTATGTATCGAGGTGTGTATCGTACCGTGGCCTATGTATCGAGGTGTGTATCGTACCGTGGCCTATGTATCGAGGTGTGTATCGTACCGTGGCCTATGTATCGAGGTGGGTATCGTACCGTGGCCTATGTATCGAGGTGGGTATCGTACCGTGGCCTATGTATCGAGGTGGGTATCATACCGTGGCCTATGTATCGAGGTGGGTATCATACCATGGCCTATGTATCGAGGTGTGTATCGTACCGTGGCCTATGTATCGAGGTGGGTATCGTACCGTGGCCTATGTATCGAGGTGTGTATCGTACCGTGGCCTATGTATCGAGGTATGTATCGCACTGTGGCCTGTGTATCATACTGTGGCCTATGTATCGAGGTGTGCATCATTTTGTGGCCTATGTATCGAAATATTTATCGTAGTATGTATAGTATCAGCAACTTCTTAACGATTCCCAGCCCTAACAGTCCGAGCACATGGCTAATTATGCACAATAAACAAAGTCTATATTTAGTCAATTTAACCAAAATCCAGCTCCGACTGTAAATGCAGCAGTAAAGAGAAAACACAAATGTCTTTCTTTTCTGTGTCATGATCAGCCAAGAGTCAGGGTTGAAGCTGCTCTGGTTGTTAGCACTAGCATCAGGCACACGGCGTAAACAGCTGCGCCACTCCACTCTGCGTTCGACTATAAATATTCTGTGTGATGTTTGATCAGTGAATATGACGAGCACTCGCTGATACAATATTTAACAAACAAAACACAACTCCAGGTATGTTTTTAATGAGGCAACAACGTTCGAACATGGCTTAAACCTCAACGTGAAGTCAATGCTCTGTGATATAGGAAATGTAAAAAGCTACAATATGTGCACTTAAATTAAAATAATAAATGTACGTGCGTTTAATGTATTAGTCAAACTGGGGCCAAATAAAAACAAAGACAAAACCAAGTCCAACCCAAGTCTAATAATAAGGAACTTAGGAAAATCACAACTGTAATTTTTTACTTTTACTTTTTTTACTTTCCAAAAACAACACACGCACGTAAAATGGAGAACTTTGTGTTGTTTCCATTTCTTTTTTGATTAATTATTGCGTCAGCCAGTATTGTGAGAGATATTTTTGTTGACATATTATGTAGCTGAAAACAAAGCCAAATGAAGTCCCAAATTACTACAACGAAGACGACAGGTACTTGTATTTTTGTATTTAATAAAATAAATACAAAACCAAGTCCAACCCAAGTCTAATGGACGGTCAACTGTACTTTTTTTTCTGTAATTTTTATCTCTTTTATTTTCCAAAAGCAGTATAAGCATGTAAAATGGAGAAGTTTGTGTTGTTTTGTTGTTGTGACAGATATTTTAGTTGACATATTATATTGTGTAGCCAAAAACAAACAAATGCCACACGAACTCCCAAAATAATACAACTAAGAAGACAGATATTTGTATTTTTGTTTTATAATAAAACAAAGACGAAATCAAGACTAACCCAAGTCTAATGGACGACTTAATAAGGAAAATCGCAACTGTAATTTTTTTTCCGTTTTACTTTCTAAAAACAGTACAAGCATGTAAAATGGAGAACTTTGTGTTGTTTCTATTTCTTTTTTAGTTGATTACTGCTTCGGCTAATATTGTGACAAATAATTTCGTGACATATTGTGTAGACAAAAACAAACAAATGCCAAACGAACTCCCAAATTACTACAATGAACACAACAGATATTTGTAATTTTGTATTTAATAAAACAAAGACAAAACCAAGTCCAACCAAAGTCTAATGGACGACTTAATAAAGAAAATCACAACCATAACTGTAATTTTTGTCTGTTTTACTTTCTAAAAACAGCAAACGCATTTAAAAATGGAGAACTGTGTGTTGTTTTTGTTTTTTTTAATTGATTATTGTGTCAGCCAATTTTCGTGACATATTGTGAAGCAGAAAACAAACAAATGTCAAACGAACTCGCAAATTACTGTAACGAAGACAACAGATATTTGCATTTTTTGATTTTTTCCTTTTTTATAAGGAATTTGTCATTTAATAATGATTAATCTATATATTATATTTTGGCATCCCTAGTTTTCTCCTGCTTTGGTATCTGTATATTTGATTATGTTAAAAATTTGTAGTTGCCCCAGAGGAAAAAGACAAAAAATCTTGCTTCACTTTAGAAAATACATGTTTTTACCTGGTCATTTAAGTCACATTAACTTGCCCATTTCATAAAGCCGTTGTCACACACTTGAAGAACATGGCGTGGTCATGGTGTCAAAATCTTCGAGTAATCCAAAAATCATACATTCCTACTGAGAACCATTTTAACACTAAAATTTAACACCTCAACATCGGTGCTTTTAAGATTACGTCTGATATTATATTGCCAGAGTGAATGGTATGGTTAGAATATTTACATTAGTAACCACATGGTCCACACGTGTTTAAGACAAATCCATGAGAAAATACGACGGTGGTTTTTGGGGGTTCCCCTGAAAAGACGTGAAACGGCTGTGATCATAAAAAGAGAAAAGAGGAACAAGATCAGGCTGCTCTGTGGGAGGGAAAGGGCAACATTTTACTACTTTACCATGACACATGTTTCTGCGCTGTGACAGGCAACAGCCCACAGTCCGGGGCTCCATTTGGACCAACGTTTTGCAATTACGATTTCATGTGCGACTTATGTTTTAATAGTTGGAATCTGATTTAACTGCACCTTGTAAACACGCTGCATTAACGTTTGTGATATGAACTGAAACTCATACAAGACCCACATGTATTTCAGAACATGTATACACTTTTTTAAATCTGTGGTTTGCAAAGGACTTAAATAATTCAGATTTTCTAATTGTGGCCATTCAAATTTCGATTTAATAACGATTTATCTCAACACTGAAGGTTAAAGATGAACTGAAAACCGTACGGCACTGTTTACACTTTAAGAAATTTGATTGGTGATTTAAAATATCTTGGGAAATAATTTTTAAAACCCCAACTATGCCTTTCACGGTAATTCTATACACTTACGTTCATGCGATATAGGATTTTGTTGGCTTAATTTTGATCCCGTGTACCTGTTCTTTGCGCTGGTGAGGAACTATTTTTAGTATTGCATTTGAAGTCTGGGTATTAAGCACTTACAAATGCCTTTCAATTTGTTATTTATCCCAATGTCTTTATTACGTGGTTCATTTAGAAAAGAGCTTACGGACATTACCGAGCTTTAGAGTTGTCGAGTCATGAAACAGTCTCCAGTGTATTGTAAGATTTTCTGGAGTAAAAATGGTTTCTGCTGTTGGGTTTTCCGCAGCTTATGGGGCAGGTGCAGCCCAGCTTTGCCTCCGAGACTGTCCGTTATGTAGATACTTGCTTTTATAGCACTTATTAAACGCGTTGGATCTTTTGGATTTAAAGGAACATTAGTGGTGTTGTTTAATGAAGTCTTGAGGTGACAGAAATGTTAATATTGCTAATGTAGCTTCATTTACATTTGTTTTTTTGTTTAAAATTGCGACATTCACTTTATTTGAGACCACAATCTATGTCTGAGAGTATTTTGGATCTTATACGGTCTGAAATAAGTAGAATTATCAGCCTAATTTTGAAGCCAAGTTACTCAGACGCTGTGACGTGCTGCTTTAACTGCCAATTATTTCCTTATTTCCCTAAACTGTTAATTATTGTTTGCACTGATGGTTGAATTCTTGCCCTCTTGTCAGTGAGCAAGGCATTCATATCGATTTTTTTGCACTTTTTACTGTATCAGCCTTAAATCTCCAAGCCGATATTTTGTTTTGCCCTACCTGCTGCCTAAAAAGTACACACCAAAGCTTTATTTCTTTTATTTTAACACAAGAGATAACAGCACGAATTGTGACTACACAGCTCTGTTATAGGTTTTTGATAAAAAAAAACGGGATTTGGGTGAGTTTTTACTCAATTTAAATAGCAGATTTGTGGAAAATAATCTAAATCTACACTACATATCGGCTCAAAAAATATCGGCAGAGCAAACCAGCCATGAAAAAACCCATAATGGTCAAGGCCGACTCTATTCTCATCAGATTTTATTAGGTAAAAGATTACCAAACGACAATGAAAGGCATTTGTTATGATATTGCGAGCGTCGTTACAGCCACATTGACCGTAAGGAACCGAGGGAATACCAGGTCCTTATATAATCGTACCTTGCGCCCGGCGTCTTGGTCAATACTCTGGGCTCTAAGAGGCTTACCTTCTCCCTGTCAAGCCCGTGGAGCCCTGCTGTAGTTACTGTACAAGCTAACACAGGAGACTGGGGCTTATTTACAAAGTTATCGTAAAAATAACATATCAATAAACGAGCTTATACTTCTACAAATACAGCGAGTCCTTCAAATGCGTGGCCAGACTACGAGGTGAAAAATATAATGTACATTTTTTCACTTATCGACGCGATTAAGAAGCAAAACATACAATTATTCCTCAGGCGACGTTAAGATTCAGCTTGTTTTTAGTACGTGGCGCCACCATAACAAACACTGCAACATATTCACTACTAGAAAGCATAAAATAGGAGCCCATATAAAAGAGCAGAATTAGATAGTATTAGTATTCACTTTGTGTTATTCGATCAGTGTTAATGGATTTTGCCATTTCACTGCTCATCGTTATGAATAATATAGAACAAGAAGTAAATGAGATTATATTCGATTTGTATTAAACTAGCATTGTCAAAAGTATCGAAAAATCAAATACTAATCCGTACAAAAAATAGTAACAGGATAAAATTTGACCTTTTCCTGAATAGCTTCTTTTCAAGTTTTATAAGAGCTTGTGTAATGTTGAATATATTGTATAAAACCGCTTTTAAAATGATTATTATAAATTTAGGTATGCTTTAGTTTTAAGGAACACTTCTCTTTTTTGTTAATATGCAAACCCTGATATTTGTGGACGTTAAACTGAATTGGTGGCTTGGTATTTCACAAAAATTACCATTTCTATTTATCGTTCAATATATGAAAGCTTGGGGCTTATTTATCGTGTGTATTTTTTGTTTGCAATTATAGAGAGGATTTTTTAAAATGTAACGTAATATGGTTTGAGCGATATACAAGGTAGAATAAATAACTTCTATAGCCAATAAAAGGTTGCAGCTCAGGCTTTTTAACAACACTGTCCATTTACAAACCTGTTTTGCTGGTATTATCTTGCTTCAATATCATCGTTAATCGCAATATATCGTGCTTCAAAATGTGTTATCGTGACAGGCCTATTGGTTGTAGCGTTTTATTGCAAAAACTGGCAATAAATAAAGAAAAGGTACTTTCTAATATTGCGAAATAATCTTGCGAAATGAATTGGTTTGTGCGTTTTGGAATTAATGTTTTGAGATAAAGAAATATATATATATATTTATAAAAGCAAATCTGTGTCTTAAATATGTAGATTGTGTAAAATAAAGGTGATTAGTGCATTATTTGTGTTTGAGGTGGTGGTTTTTAGGTTCAAAGCGGCCGTTGCAGACAGCCATCTAAAACAGACAGCTTTTGTATCAGGCAACACACCCCCAAGATGTCACTGTGACTGGGAGAAGCACGCTGCTCGTTATTCAGCAGCAGCACACTGCCTTTTTGTGCCTAAAACACGGTTTGGCTCGGGGAAATTTCTAGAATACGTAAAAGCTTTAGATTATACAATAGATCTATGGAAAAAAATTGCGTTTAACAGGCAGCACCTCCCACCTAACGACATGTCGCCAGCGTTGCGAAGCTGAGCGCTAAAATGCTCAACTTGGGCATGGTAAGTAAACATAAGACAAATGGGGGCTTCGCTGTGTTGTTCTAGTATGCTTTTTAAGATCAGTGCGTTTTCGGATAACAGTGTTTCTCGTGTGCAAACCCAGTGCAAAAGCAGAGCCAGCGCTTACACGGTTATATTGAGTATTACGAAAGCAGAGCACAACCTGAGACAAAAGCCCACTGCAGCCTGCCTGCCCTCCCCAGCGCTTCACAGCTAACCTACGCTAGCTGCGGGGCTAACTGCGCTCTCCTAAGCTCCGACATTTTCCTCTTACTGCGTGCACTCTCACGGGCGTCCACTTCGTACGGGAACGTGTTTCTACAAATGCGCACAAAGTAAAGAAGGTGTGGAAAGCACGTGGCACAAGCCTATACCGAATCCACGCAAAACATTACATTCATTTCCCACGCAGTTTACGTCAAGTTAGCTTAACTCTACATTAGCCTACGTGCTACAGAACTTAGCCAGAGAGCTAACGTTGAACAGGGATTTTAGTGTTTCTGCGCGGAGCTAAACCAGCACCCAAACTAAGCACGGCTCTTACCTTCAAACGGGCCCTCTGCGTTTCATTCAGCTTGTGCGATACGTGTAGGTTGCGCAATGTATAGAATAAGTGCCTAAATAGTGGCGTTTACCGTAGCCCACGGCGGTGTGACGTTCAGTTTGAAAACATCAGCCGCTCGTCTCTGAGAAAAGCCCAGAGTTTTAGAACGGTAGATGTCGCATTGGCTAACGCTGTCTATTGGAACGAATGCGTCAACAAAGCCGCCATCTTGGTACGGTAGTAACGCTGCTTTGAATGAACATCAATCAGAGACAAGCATGGATCTACAATAACAACTTTTTATATTTTATTTTATTTTATTATAGTTCAGTGGGGACAAGGTGATATCAGTGTTTCCCACAGATCAAGTAGTATTGTGTGGTGCCCTTTCTTTCTCAAGTCCAAGATTAGTCCTGGTTTAGCTCTGGTTTAGACCTAGTTTAGTCTTGGTTCAGTCCTGGTTCAGCTCTGGTTTAGTCCCGGTTCAGCTCTGGTTCCACTCTGGTTTAGTCCTAGTTGAGTCCTGGTTTAGTCCTGGTTCAGTCCTGGTACAGCTCTGGTTTAGTCCTGGTTCAATCTTGGTTCAGCTCTGGTTTAATCCTGGTTCTGCTCTGGTTCAGTCCTGGTTCAGCTCTGATTCCACTCTGGTTTAGTTCTTGTTGAGTCCTGATTTAGTCCTGGTTCAGTTGTGGTTTAGTCCTGGTTCCATCCTGGTTCAGCTTTGGTTCAATCCTGGTTCTGCTCTGGTTCAGACCTGGTTCAGCTCTTGTTTAGACCTGATTTAGTCCTGATTCAGCTCTGTTTTAGTCCTGGTTTAGCTCCGGTTCAGCCCTGGTTCGGTCCTAGTTCAGCTCAGGTACAGTCCTGGTCCAGCTCTGGCTCAGTCTGGTTTCAGAACACAACATTTAATATCATAGGCCTACAAAATTAAACTTTACCTATGAAATGTTATTCCTTACATCTTCACTCACTGATACTGTAGAAAAACTTCACCTTGCAAGCCCATGGAACCCCTGTACCAAGATGGCGGCGGTATTAACGCATGCCAAGCTGCTGAACGCGACATCTACTATTCTATATTTCAGAGAAAACCCCAGCAAAACACGGAGCCGCGCTGTGATTGGCTGAGCGCGAACACGTGACCCCCCCAGCCCCACTGAGCGCGTCTGTCTGCGGGACGGGCTGTACTATGGCCGTACATGGGGACGTGCAGAACTGTTTTACCCACATTTTTCGTAACGTAGCATGTATGTACCAGTACAGATCCCGTTGTTGTTACGCTCGGCATCGTATTTCATCAGATGGTAAGGTCCATGACACCTGCTAGTGGACGTGAATGTTTAATTTAACCTGGAGAGAGCCGTAATGGGCGCTTGACGTCATCTTTTCCGCTGCTGTTGCGGTCAGTGGGAAGTTTCTAGAAGATCATAGTTATGGCTCACGGAGGATTTGGCTGGTGCTATCTTTTTGTGAGCTCGTCTGTGCAATTTCCTACACTTTTGACAGCCTATGCACGCAGTTAATTCCTCCTGGTCCCCGCCGGTTCGTTTTGGTTCGGTTGCGCAGTGGCATTTGCATCATACTGCGGCGTGTGCGCATGCGCCCTGGTGCATAATAAATGTTGCGGAGCAGGGCTTGTAAATTCACGAGGCAGCGGGGTGGGGGAGGGTCAGTCTCGCCATCGCATCGGGGTGGGCTGCAATTGACAGGAGCGCTGGAAGGACGTTTTTATTAGGCTATATCTCCTTAATTTGCATATGCATAACGCTGGACTCACGATACAAGGTTGTTTTTAGATTTTTCTGTATCCAAACTGCTTGATGTGCACTTCTCTGTACTGTATTTGTCTGTGTGGAGTGAAATTGAAACACAATTAAAGCATTAAGATTTGCGCCTCTTTCACGTTGCCTTTACATTGATGCTTGTTGCCATGGAAACGGGAGTCAGATCCAGATATTTTGTCATCATAACAAAAGGGAAGATCTGTTTAAATCACAAAATAGGCCTTTGGGGGAAAAAAAAAACAAATTGTATTACAAATTTCTAACAAATATTGTGATTTGTGTGGGTTTAAACATGTCTAGGGGCATTAATATTTAAGAGAAGAGTGAAAATTGAACTGATAAATTAATCACAATAATAATCACATGTTTGTAAAGGTCCAAAAAAACAATTTGTAATCATGGTTATTTCATAAATACACCAACTCAAACTGTGATTTTGATTCAGTTGTGATGCAATTGTGTAGCCAAAAAAAGGGAAGTAATAAAATGTAAACATAAAAATATTAAATGTCAGGTGTGGTTCGTGTACCATTCATTCTTTTGAATTTCAATTAAGAACGAGAAACGATAAAATGGGAAAACAGTTTCATTTAATTTTTTCGTATTAGTGTCAAACAAAAAAACTGATTTTTGACCTCAATTTAAAATATTTAATTTAAAGTTTAGTCATCGTGTCTATTTCAGTTTTGATATTTTCAGTTTTACAATTTTATTTTCTCTCTTATTTAAGTTTTGCTGCTAGAAGGACTTACCTAAAAAATCGTTGCAATTTTGTGGACAAACATTTCACTTTTTACTTTGGCGTCTTAGAAAGAAATTGTTGAACTCCATGAAGAGAAACAGGAAGAAGGAATATCAAAATTAAAATAGGCGCTGAAACTGGTTTTTGATAGGTATAATTTGAAGTAAACTTTAAATGAAATATTGTAAATGGAGGTCAGAATCTGTTTCTTTTGTTTCACACTAAAACGAAAAAATAAAATAAACTGTTTTCCCATTTTATCGTTTTTTGTTCTTAATTGAAATTCAAAACAACGAATTTTACACGAACCAGGGACCATGTATGAAGCAGTCATTCATTTTCACTCATTTTTGAAACCTTTGTAATATTTTGCCTATAATTTTAGTAACTACCCATTTCTAGATCTGGTCTCTAGAATGGTTTATAAGCAAATTTAAATTTCCCATTGTACTATTGAGCTACAGAATGTATTCCCTACTCTAGTACACATTCATTAACAACGTTTTAAAGTCTAGTGATTAATATTTCAGTTGTTTCCATTGGTTCCAAAATTATTAATTCGTAGGATAATTGAGATAGCGATAAACAATTTAAAATGACATATAAATATTGTTTGAATGGGGAAAATGTCAAAATGAGGAAGCTTAAACGCATGTCTAGTGTTTGAAAGAGCAGCACACCGACACCTACAACACATGTATAGGAACGTTTTATTTACACAATATAACTTTAACATTACATTTTCTTACGGGTGCCACATCTGTGATCATTATAAATCTGCCCTTACACCAAAACCGGGTCCGTTAGGTGGCTCTGTTAAAGAAGTCAGTCCACCAGCTGGTTCGCAGGAGAAACGCCCACTCCTGCAAGAAAAGGAAAAATGCGCTGTATTAGGAGAAGGCTGAACAAAAAAACAAGAAATTCCATCTGAAATTGAATCCTTTCTATTCAGAGTCGGATTAACAAAAAACTAATAAAACCAATGTAAGAGACAAACAAATAATTTTCGTTTTAAATGAAAAATTCCTCATATTATTTCTATATTTAATCCATGTTTTAATGCTGTTACCTCATCAAAAAAAAAAAACTGGAGTTGTGTTTTGTTTCATTCACACATGTTTGAGTAATTTTTTTAATATTAGTCTGTCTACTCAAAGCTCTAAATGCTCGGTTACAGCATCCTCTTATCTTTTGTTTAGTAGATATTGCATCATTTCGGCTCTAAAACTATTCAAATGATTCTAGTGAAAGTGCATGGAGTTAAAAAACAGTGGAGCACTTCCAGTTTCACCACATGATATCACAAGATGGAACAGAGTGTTTTCTGTTTGAGAGAAGAACTCAGACTAAATGTGCCGGATGTGTGAATGAAATAAAACTCAACTCTGGGTATGTTTTTGATTGGGAAATGACATCATAACAGAGATCAACGATATGTTTTTTTCATGGCCAATGCTGATACTGACAAACCGATTATTTTTGGGACAATATGTGCAGAAGATTTAGATCATTTCCCCCAAATTATGATACGTACATTAACTACAAACTCACCCACTGCACTTTTCTTTACCACAAATCTAAAAAAGAGCTGTATAGTCACGTTTTCAGCTGTTATTTCTTCGCGCTAAAGAATTCAAGCTTTCTGCTTTTTCTTTGTGCAGCAGGTCAGCCAAAAACTAAATTCAAGCTTGACAGAATATGAAAATAGCATAATATGAGCCTTTTAATCAATACTCAAAGCCTAATTCTTAACCCTAAAGCCTTAATTTAATTAGTAACAAAGCCTGAATGATTCTTAATGGACTAACTGTTAAAGAGAGTAGCGATAATAAAATGTAAGCAATGAAAGCTTAACGATAGAATAGATTTTTACAGGAATTTTAGACAAATTCACATCTAGTATTTGACCCTGACATAGTTTTACTCAAACAAGTGTAGACTGTAAAAACGATTTAATAATAATAATGATGTGTAAGGTTTAAAAATGGCATTTAATGTTTAGTTTGCTGAATGATAAACTGAGAATCTCATCAGAAATTGCATTTACCTGGGTCCTGGTGGAGGGACTCTGCCAGCTTTGAGTTCATCAATAATATCCTCGATGTCTTTGGGCGTCAGGTCCTCCTAAAAGAATAAACACGACATAATCTCTTATTAACTGGTTTGTGGAATAAAATGATAAGATACATTAAATTAAAAACTGTCAAAGGCTCATCAGGACTGATAAAAAGTACAAAAAAATAATATTAATTGTGTGATTAATGTAGTATACCAGTATCAGATAGTAATTAAGACTAAAACTAATATCGAAACTAGATACTTATGTGAGGAGGTATCGATACTGCAAACAGTCGCAATAACAGGACAAAATCTGAGTACTGAGTCAATTCCTGAGTATCAAAGTTAGGGATCATTAAGAAGTTGCCGATACGATACATATCTCGATACAGAGCACTTTCGATTCGATACGATATTTCAAAACGATTCAATACAGTTCAATAAAAAATAAAGGCTAAATCATGTCTGTGAGTCTAAAAGTCTTTGTTAAACCGTTTCTTCTGCAAAGTGAATATGAATAAAGCCCATTTTAATCCTCAAAACAGTGAAAATATCAAATGTGTCGCATAAACAAGTTTCCTTCCTCTGTACAAGCAACAAAACTGTAGCTCTGTAACAAAATTATTTAGTGAAATATACCAAAAAATACTCTTGGCGATGTATCGATACAGCAGCCCACAATATCGATACTGTATCATCACATTAAACGATACGATATATGGATATTTTGACATTTTTGCACACCCTTAACCAAAGTAATCGAGTTTGAAATTTTAGTATCGCGACAACACTAAAGACATTCACCAAAAACTGCAATAAAATACAAAGTGTTTTCTTGTTATGCCAGTAAAACACGATACTTCATCTCAAAATAATCACAAATTACACACATTTTTAAGAAAAAATTGCAATCTGTGATATCCCTGAATAATTTCTTTAAAGTTGCATGATTGAGGGTCTATGTCCTGCTAGTCTCCATGGAGATGTTATTGCTTTGCAGAGAATGTTACATGGATAAGTTTAATGCTTTTCTATTTCCATGGCCAAGTTGCTGGTCAGTAAAGAGAGGTAAGGACGCATGTTTTTCCAGAGAACAAAAATGACACACGCTATTGAAATGTACGCAATATTGATCAGTTTAAAAACAAATTACTGTGCTTGTGATTGCTAAATAATAATCTATGACAGAGTTTGCCACCAAAATCACTGCCGAATCTTACGTGTATTGATCGGCAATTAAGAAAATAAAACTGGAGAACGAAATAAGAAAACAGAATAGTGAGTGTGTATTGCGGCGGTGAAAATGGGGGTGAGAATAAAAATGATTCAAACTTGCATAAAATCACTCTAAATGCAGGGTTCCCACAGTCATGGAAATACTGGAAAAGTCATGGAAATTGAAAATGTCATTTTCCAGGCCTGAAAAAGTCATGGCTTTTTGTAAATTCAATGAAAGTTCTGGAAAAGTCATGGAATTTTAGTATCTCTTTCACGCAACTACAGTGTTCTGTTAAGTTCTCATGAGACTATTATGATTATTTCTGGACTAGGGATGTAACAATATCCAAATCTCACGGTACGATATTTTCACGATATACATCTCACGGTACGATATTTATTGCGATACTTTGTGGAGGCTTACAAAATTGTGAATATGCTCCTTTTTCCTCTTAAAATGCCTAGACTTAAAAGTGTTTAGAGCTGTTATTTCTTCATGTAG